GACGGGAGTTGGTGGAGCGGGTTGCTCGTTGGCGGATTGCATTCACTGTGTAAACATTAAACTTCTGTTGCCGTTCATTCGACGACGATTGTCGTCCACCACGGCTCAAGGTGGTTTGGGTTCAGCGGTCCAGCCATTGTTTGATGCATGTGTGAGGACATTGGGCTCGTGCTCTCGTTAACTCAATTACAAATCGGTTAGGTGGTTGATACCTGAGGCAATGGATCCATCGAGGTCCCTACCTAAGGTATCTTATCTTGCCTTCCGTTGCTGGCGATGATGAAAGTTGCAGTTTTCCTTCAATGCCTGGAAAAAGACAAACCAGACCCGAATCCTGCGTCCGTAGGGGTACTAGTTCGATAACAGGACTGACCTTCATTCACATCTGGCAGTTCTTCTGCCCATCCGGGATCGGCAAGTCAAGATTCGAGCCCTACCAAGGGTTTGGAAACATCGCTATCATGTTGTTTTTTCTAGCCCATGAAACACCACCTCAGGGGAGCATCATCATGCACAAACCCACCTCATTCCAACTCACCCCTTCCTTCCAGGACCAACACATTCACTCATTGTTTCATGCCCCTGAGCAACCTCGCAACCCAGGGATGGCGGTGGGCCCAACCCGAGCGATCAGCACCCACCCTCCCGTCTCGCCCCCTGACCACATTTAACTAGGTAACCAAACAAAAGAGTAAGAATCATGATTTCAATCATTACAACAATACTCGATTCAACCTGCCAATGAAAGCGACGCCGCGGGCTTGCTTGCTCAGAACAGGGCCAAACACAACCAACCAGCCCCAAGGACAGAACAGGCTTCGCAAGAGTAAAAAACTCGCCAGGCCCCCGACGTTCCCCGAAACAACCCCCGGTGTGATCAAATCCGCGGGAAAAGAGAAAGGGACGAAAGGGACTATGTTATGTACATGGAAGCGGCCCCAGGGCAAACCATCCCCCCACCCTTAACCACTCCTAATCACCGCTGTCGCCTGCATCACCCTTCATGGCCAGTCAGAGCTGACCCGTGACATTATATGGCTTCTGCCATTCTTTGCTCTCCCATTTTGCGTCGCACCATTGACCGAGGAAACAGAGGAGGGGAAAGGAAGCCACAACTTGACCGCATAACCATCCCCTCCGGAAATTTCAGAGCATCCCGAGCTCCGTATCGTGAGTTGCGAGGACATCGCAGACCGAAGGCCTCTTGTGCCGGGTATTTTATTTATCGCGTAGAGAAAACCGAAATACGTAATACCTGAGAACAGGTCCACGTCGAAGAAGCGAGGCAGCGGGGGCTGTCATGTCCGGGGCGGGATGGGATTGTAGCCCCAGCCATTCACCACCTTCGCTCGCATTGCCCTGCGGCTCTTCTAAACCGCGGTTCCAGGGGTGGGGAGGACGTCCGCATCACCTGGGGCCGGAACCGGGCGCTGGCGTCTTCCCTTCAGACTCTTCATGCGACCCAGGATCCCACCCGTTTTCGGTTGAGCATCATCACCCCCGGTAGCGTCCGTCGTCGACCTGCGCTCAAGGCTGGGCCCGCTGGGGCTCGCAGGCGAAGGCCTGCTTCCGTTGCTGTCCATCTTGTGCACGGTGAACTCCTCCTCGCCCTTGCCCGACCCGTACTCGGAGAAGAACGGGTTGCGCTCCGACAGCGAAGCCGAGGCCGGTCCGCCCTGCGAAGGGGACCGCCGGGAACCGTACCCAGTCTCGGGATTGGTAATCCGCCCGGAGGGCTGGTAATCACGGCCGCCGCGGTTCATGTTGCGAATCCGGTGAGCGAGCGACTTCTTGCGTTGCAGGCCATCCCCCCCGAGCTCGGCAGCCCGCTCCTCCTCGCGCTTCTGGATGGCGGTCCGTGCGGCCGGCGTTCCCTCCAAGAAGGTCGACGTGCCGAGACCGAGCGATTCATCGCCGTGCAGGATGCTGCCGCGGCTGAGCGGATCGAAGACCGGCGTCTCCTTGGAGCTCGAATAATTCCCCTTGTCCTTGCCGCCCCGAGACCACTCCATGAAAGCCTCGTCATCCTGCTGCCCCAGAAAGGTGGCATGGTCCGGCCGCGCGTTCAACGGCCCAGCCCCGCCGATCGTGTTGTTGAGCGAATCTTTCGGGAAGGCTTGCATGGGTGCACGCCGGCTCCCCTGTCTGTTTCGGTGCGGGTTCAGTGCGTCGAAGGGTCCGTCGTGGTGGAAAACTGCAATTGATCATGTTAGCAATCCATTGGCAAAAAAACAGCGCGACGACACCTACTTCCGGAACCGTAAATGCTGGTTGCGTCCAACTGATCGATAATATCGACCCTACGGCTGGGCTTGGTGCTCTTCTTCTCCCTGTTGTCACGGTGACGCCGCTCGCGCTCTCGCTCGCGTCGCCTTTGGTCGCGCTGCTTTCGTTCTTCCTCGGTCATGATCTTATCATTATCTAGGATTGACGAATCCGAGTTCCGGCGAGGGCGCCTCTCGGGGCGCCGCTGTGGGGAGCGTGAGGGGTCCGGTGGACCGCCACGGCCACCATTCTCTTGCATTCTCCGCGCGCGAAGCGCCTCTTCCTGCGATCGAGTCGGGCGATGGTTCGGCGGCGGGCCCCTCCGGTTGGGCGGCGGCGGGCCCTCGCGGTAAGGGGGCGGTGGGGCGCGACGGTCAAGCGGCGGCGATGGTTTTGGGGCGTCTGGCCGGGGCGGCGCAGGCTTGTCGGATGTATCCACAAGCGTCAACGAACCCTGCGCGAACCATGGTCAGATTACTACGTTTCGAATGCGACCTTTTGCAAGACGCTGGCGGCCGGCCGGGTGTAATGCTTGCGGGGACGTACGAAAATCTCCTCGGCCGTGAGGGACGGTCTCTTGTCCAACGACATGCTTTCAGACTCGGATCGGATGTTAGAGAGGCTGGATCTGCCTGTGATGGCGGGGTCAAGAAACGGGTTGCGCGAGAGCGGGCGCGGAGGCGGGTCGTCGAATGGAGAAGCTGGGCTGTGTGAGGTCGTGGGCGATACGGCGCGATTGCGGAATGGGTTGTTTGAAGGAAGGTTCAATGACAACCCGGCGGATCGCTGGTCTAAATGGGCGGAACCCCCAACGAGTCAGCGATCAGGTCGACAGGGGAGAAGAACAGGTTCGGCCGTCGGCAACGTGCATGCGAATGACGACGGTGACAGGAACATGAAACAGTAATCTCCTTAACATGACACAGCAGGCTCAATCGCAGAGCGAACCGATGGACATGCCCAGGCGCCAAAGCGGCCCCTTGGACTCGCAAAACTGGGAAGCGGGATGCGACCGACCAGGCATACCTGCGTGGATCTCCCCCTTCGATGCTTGCGTTGGCCGCCACTGAGGGAGCGCAACAGGGTTCGGCGTCTGCGCCCGGAGTCGCCAAGGAGGTAGAAGAACGAATGAACGAATGCGATGTGCTCACCTTGCTGCGAACCTGCCATGATGGGCAAGCGATGGCGAATCTGATGATGAAAGTTTGGCAATTCCGGTGTTGCTTTGGCGCGAGCCGCCGTTTTCGTGTCAACTCGGGTTGAGTTGACTGCTGCCCTGTGCGACCGTGTCAAAATGTCTTGGATTGAATTCCTTTGACCGGGGCCGGCGTCATACCAGTGGAGATAAGGAGTGTTTCTTCAGACAGCGGGTCGTTCCCGTCGTGGGTCCCGTCTCAAACGCTGTTTTCTTTTCTTCGCTGCGGGTTGAGGAAACGAGGGGGGGGGGGGGGCGAGAATGTGACCGCCGAAGTGCCGCTAACGGATATATAATCCAGGCACGGAAGCGATCAAATTCTCGGTGTAGCCACGCGGGGTCGAGATCGGATGAACGGCCGCGCGTCTTAAGCTTGAGTTTGGGTCCCGGGTAACAGCAATGTGGCCTTGGTTATGGGCCTGTGCTGCCGCTGCTAGATGGACTCGAAATCGTCCGAGAAGTCAAGATGCCGAAGCGCGGTTCAGATATAGGCTGTGGGGTATAGCTTTGCGATAGGTTAGACGGGATTGAAAACGATCTTGCTCGGGCCCATCCGTGGGTTGGTGTTTCGGGGAGAGCTACCTAGTTGAGCAATTCCCAACACGTTGGGATTTTAGGGGTTTTGGTTTCGGGGGACGGACAGGCTCCTTTAGAGAGGGAGCGTGGGATCGGCGTCCAGTGTTGCGATTTCCACCGAGGCGACAGCGCTAAATGGGTCGGCGGGGGGAGAGCACGGGAGTTCGTTTGCGTGTGTGCAACAACCCGAAATCTAATACCCTGCGGCTGGCAACTTTCACCCGCCGGAGACAGAAGGACCTTGTGCTATTCGGGCTTGTGCTTGTGGATCCGTGGAGTTTCGAGGGGTGGCCGCTGAGAGGGGCAGCGGTGTGCAAACATTCGTGACGGGGAATGCCCAGCTTGGTTAAGGGCGCAGCCGATGGCAAGATGTTTTACCTAGAGAACAGATCTTGTCGTCGGGGGCGAGATGTGTTTTTGGCTACCTGACGGAGAGAGAGGTGAAGAGAGCGCTTGGTGGTCGCCAGGGCAAGTTAAAAGATGGACATCTCGGCTACCCAGGGGGGCCAGCAAACATCCCCATGCTCTTTCTGTGTTCAGAGGGACGGATTACGCGCCATGCCCGTTTGGGACCACCTCCACGCTGGGCGGCGGTCGCCAAGCCTGCTGAGTCTGGGCACTTTTTTAAATTGCCCCTGGCCCGATGTTCTGCAGGGACCAACATTGATGAACTGCCGCCCAGCTCAACAACCTCTATTTTCCCGCATTTGTCCCCGAGCTAACTACTTCGTACTAGCACCCGACTATCTAGGTACATTTTAATTGCAGTTACCTTATGGAGGATGTTGCTCTCTTAAGGGGCTTGTGTTTGACGCCGTGGAGAGATGAATGGCAGGCCGACCATGGCGAGATTGATCGCTGAGGCACAGACGGCAACACTCGCCGGTTCCTTTCCTCGTCACTTTGGGTCATGAAGATCCCACCCCGGTGGACGCTACCTTTCGTCGCATCGCGCAAACACACGCAGGTCCTCGGCATCAGGACCAGCGGCGATTTTACGTCCGTCCTTATCCCGAGTCCCCACCTCGAAGCTGGGGCAAAGCCCCGGCACCGCGTCACGACAGATGGCCAAGACCCGGATGAGATGTGAGACTGTACTTCACACCGGGGTTGGCGATGGACGACTGTCGAGCCTCACGAGGTACCGCATCGTACTGACCTGGGCACAACTTTCCTTTTCTTCTTTTTCTTTGACTGTCGCTCCTCCTGCGCAGTTGAGGGCACCTCAGACCCTGGAGGGAAGGGATTCAGGGTCTCCTGCTCCACCTTATCCGATGACCACAAACTGCGACTTCTCGCCCCGCAAACGGGAAGCGAGTGCACCCCCAGGCATGGTCCTGTCATGCCTGCCAACAGGCTGCAGGAAGCCATCCTGAAGTGCTGGGCCTATTCCTCCCGTCCTAGTTCTCGTTGGATTTAATGATACTTGGGAACGACGAAGTACAGCTGTGAGGAGGTCAACGGAAAGAAAAGACGGGACCTAGGTGGACCACGGCCCGCCCTGGAACAGGGGAATTGCGAAAAGGGGTTTGGTGAGGCACGTTTTGCCCCGCCTTCCGATTCCAGCGAATGGTGGGGTAGTGAACCCCTGGAATGGGAGTTGGGATGGGATTGGTGTTTTATGTACCTATTTCGTACCTCAGGCACCAATCTTTAGCCAGAAACCGCCGGACTCGAAAGGCGAGAAAAGAGAATCATGAAAAGAGAAGAATAAAAACAATCAAGAAAAAGAAGAGGTAGAGAAAATTAAGCAAAATAAATCAAATAAAAGAAACAGAGTCAACTGAAAAACCGACTTTGGGATTCCGAATGGTTTTCTTTTGGTGTCTCGAGGCGAAGGTTTCTGCTTCGTACACTTGGAGTTCCGCTTTTTTTGGCCAGAGAGTGGGCGCCTGGGGTTCAGTTGCCGATTCCCGTGGACCGCAAGCGAATTCAGACTACGTGCAAGCTTGGGCCGAACTACAACTGATAGGAAACACCACCTCTTCTCTTTTCTGCCGATGTGCAATTAATCGAGGAGAGTCGTGATCTATTTCTTTTTCGTCATACAGGAGTTTATAGCACTGCCCCCAAACTGGTTGGTTTCATCCCGCAGCGAATTCGGTGACAAGCTTAAGCGGCTTGATCTGCCAAACAGAAAGAAACGGTGGCCGCACAACTTGCGGTACGAGTCCCAGGTTTGGGATAGCCCACCTATGTGGTGGCCAATCGAGGGCTAAGCACCGGAGCCGACGAGCCGTTGATCAAGAAAAACCTAAACATGCTTTGCTACTACGCGTCAGCGTGTCCTACTAGCTAGGTTGCACGGGCATTGGCGAGCGCAACCTGACAGCGATAGCTAGACGGAAGACGCGGGCAGGCCACGCCGAGGCGAATGCCTGCGAGGATGCACATCAAGTTTGGAGGGTTGCCATCTGGGTCAGTCGGACTAACTACAGTTACCGATCCATAATATCATGGATATAAGCTAGGATACCCGAGATCGATCACCGGCGGCCCGGTCAGCGGCCACACCGACTAGCACAAAATTCGCCCGACTAGCTAGCCGGATCAGAGCCCGAGACGGTGGTCCGCGACCGACCCAGGTAGCCCAATGATGTGACGAGCTCAGCGGGGGCGACGCCTGTGGCACATGGGCTCGTCTTTGTCCGGATCATTTGGGGCTCCAGGCCATGTATGCAGCCAAGCAAGGCAGCGAGACAGATGCAAAAAGTTATATTTCTGCCGCCATCGTCGTGCTGCCCACCGGCCCAACAAGGAGCAGCCACAAGCAGTTGGGTGTTGATAGAGCAAAGAACCGGGTGCTGATTGAATCCGGTCACGGTCACTGGGTGCGGTGCTTTGGTCGGTGAGGCAAAGGTCGCTTGGGGTAAATCATGCCGGCGCGATCCTAGCTTATGGAGGAGGCAAAACCGGAAGGTGACTGAGGCCAAGGGCGCAACAGCTGAGGTCGGGTGGGACATATATATGTTTCTGCAGGTAAAGCTGCGGTGAAGGTCAGGAGACCTAGAGATGCCGAGCCAGCTGAATGGATGTTGTCGGGTGTGGGTCGCGGCCCATTGGTGGTTTCGAACGGAGGCGTTTGCGCCCCTTTGAAGCGGTGGCGCGGGAAATACGGCGGATCAAGGATCTAGAACTCCGGTTTGCTGCCTTTCCCGACGCCCTTTCATGCCATTTGGCCACCCATTTGGCCCCCTTTTGCTCATCTCTTCCCAGTGTGCCTTTTGCATGAAGATTTCTGTTTCCGGATTATGCGACTGGCGAAATGGCTTGCAGCGTACGTTCCCGACCGAGGTAGGGACCACCGTATTACACAGTGCGTGTTTTCGCGACCCCATCTTTGACTCCTCACCACCTAGCCTGACCTGCATGAATCGTTAAGCGCCGTCCTCCTCAACTGGCAGCTTCCCACGCCCAAAGTGGTTGACCTACCGACAGATCCAGCCTGTCGGGTCGCTTGCTACAGCGTAATATTGTTTCTCGCGCCCCGGCCGACCGATTCACTCAGTGATTCCAGTCGACGGCAGCGCACAGAGCTGATGTGGGCGTTTTATTAGCACCCTCACTTTGCTTCTCTGGAAAGACCATCTCGCTACAACAGGGCGGTCTGGCCTCTGCTTACCGACAGGAAATCGACGGGAGGTTGCTTCCTGAGCGATGCCCGCTTCCGGTTGCATGTCTGCCAAGAGCGACACACCTTTTGTGAGCAAGCGGCGCCCGAGCGAGCCTCGTGACAACCATCGGAGACCGCTAAAACGTGCGTCTGCAGAATGCGATCTTCTTCTACTAGTGTCGTGTACACACCGTAATTGTTCCTAGGCTGCTAAGGTCGGCCACATTGCAAAACCGGCTGCAGACGGATGGTGCGCTGGCACTGCTAGGTTGTTCGGATTGAGAGGCCGAGGCGGAAGCATCTCCAGTGGCCACCAACCCACCTTGGTTGGGCACCCAGGGATTGATTGCCGCCTTTTCTGCCATTTCGCACTGTACATGCGGCGCCCTGTTGGCGCAGGCGCACTGTGGAGTAAGGCCAGGCGCCTGCCAGCCCCTGCTGAGGCATTCCCTCACAGCCCTCAAAGTTGGTTTCTTTGCAGCCGTCCCCTCGACCACCAATTTCCCTTCTCCCTTCTCCCATTCTCCGTCATCACCGAATTTTTGGGCAACTCCCGCAACCCGCCTCGAACCGCTACCGAACAGCTGCATTTGCCAGGTAAGAACATCATCAACCCTCATTCTTTTTTTTTTTTATCTTTTCAACACGTCGTTTGGATCCTCGAGTCGAGGTTTGCATCCCCCGATAAAGGGCGCAAGCCAGTGACCTAGGCGGAGCCTTGGCAAAGGTGAGGAGCCTGAAGTCATCGCTGCTACTCGCCTCCGTCGCCGTCAACTCCGGGCAACACACTTCACAACCATTTTGCATTTAACCACCAAACCGGGTTGATCTCCTCCCGCTTGCGTGTTTCACTTTGTCCAGCGACCCAAAAGCAGGCTGACTTTATTTTTTCCTACAGCAGCTTCGGACCATTGCCACGCAGCCACGCAGCCACGCAGCCACGCAGCCACGCAGATTGGCGTCCCAGTACACGATTCAAGAAAGTCACGCTGAGCATCAAGCAAAATGACGACGATGGTACGAAACCCGAATAATATCTCGAATAACTCGTTTGTAATGTGGTTGGGCGTCTATCCTCAGTTGGTTTCAGCTGCCTCACGCTCATCTTGGCCCCCCATCCCGCCGTGGGGGCCTTGAAAGGCGGTGTGGCAGCGGGCCTTTGAAATTTGTGATGCCCGCCTGCTTTGAACCACCTTACTAACGGGATACAGGATCTCCGCGTCGGGAACAAGTACCGGATCGGTCGTAAGATCGGTTCGGGCTCGTTCGGTGACATCTACCTGGGCACCAACATAATTTCGGGGGAAGAGATTGCCATTAAGCTTGAGAGTGTAAAGGCCAAGCACCCGCAGCTCGAGTATGAGGCCCGCGTCTACAAGTCGCTCGCCGGCGGCGTCGGCATTCCGTTTGTCCGCTGGTTCGGCACCGAGTGCGACTACAATGCCATGGTTCTGGACCTTCTTGGACCCAGCCTGGAGGACTTGTTCAACTTCTGCAACCGCAAGTTCTCGTTGAAGACGGTCCTGCTCCTCGCCGACCAACTGATTTCCCGCATCGAGTACATCCCATGCCAAGTCGTTCATCCACCGCGATATCAAGCCCGACAACTTCCTCATGGGTATCGGCAAGCGGGGTAACCAAGTCAACGTCATCGACTTTGGTCTGGCGAAGAAGTACCGTGACCCCAAGACGCACTTCCACATCCCGTACAGAGAGAACAAGAACTTGACCGGCACGGCCCGATACGCTTCCATCAACACTCATCTTGGTGTCGAGCAGTCTCGCCGCGACGACATGGAGTCGCTCGGTTACGTCATGCTTTATTTCTGCCGTGGCTCCCTCCCGTGGCAGGGCCTCAAGGCAGCGACCAAGAAGCAAAAGTACGACCGCATCATGGAGAAGAAGATGACGACGCCCACCGACGTCCTCTGCCGTGGCTTCCCCAACGAGTTCGCCATCTACCTGAACTACACCAGGTCGCTCCGCTTTGACGACAAGCCCGACTACAGCTACCTGCGCAAGATCTTCCGCGACCTCTTCGTCCGTGAGGGCTTCCAGTACGACTACGTATTCGACTGGACCGTCTACAAGTACCAGAAGAACGCGCAGGCCATCCAGCAGGCCGCCGGCAACACCGCCCAGGCTACCCAGGGCGACCCCAAGGATGCCCAGGCCGCCGCCCGTAAGGACGCTCAGGCGCTGCCTCGCGGAACCAGGAAGCAGATCACCGGCGATGCCCCGGATACCAACCGTGCCGTCGGCGGAAGCGACAGGATGTGAGTGACTTACCAAGCCTAGCCCAAGCATTCCTAGTAAGGAATCATATTTTCTTTGTGTTTGGTGCGCGCTCATCAACGTTGGCCGGAGGGACAATGCTGACATGGAATGCTGACGGTCAGTTTGCGATAATAGGCTGCGCTCAGCTGCGAAAGCTCAAGGCGCTGGCTCGGGATATGCTACCAACAAGTACCGGCCCATGGACTGAAGCACTGGACAAAGGTTGATTTGACGTTACCATCCCTCGGGCTATATGAGTTTGTTTCTCGTCGACTGGCTTGGCTGGCCCTTTCGCGGGCTTTGTCATGAGCATCTGGATCCCTTTGCGGAAGCAATTGTGCTCCGCCGGACCGGATCAGCATCGATAACGGATATACGCCTTCGTTACCACGACAACCAGCATATCGGCACTGCTTTTTCTCCCTCAGTTTTCTTTCGACATCTCATCAGTTCATGACCTTTATTTGCTCGGATGACTTTTGGCCTGGCGCTCCGTCAGGTGGCAATCGGCTTTGCGGCCCGCCACCTGACTGGCTGTCCAGACCGGAGATCTACCGAACGGCATGCCCGGCACTCTGATATTCTTGGGGTGTCGCTTTGAGGGAGGGGCAGCCGTTGTTTGTGGTAGCGTTTTTAGCGCCCCGAAGAGCAATGGTCAACGATGAGACGGGACTTTGATTCGACGGTGACCGTTCAGGGCGGTCGCTTCTCGGGTCCCTTGTCGTAGGAAATCGGCCAATTGCATAATTCACCGCACACACCGCTCAGACCCTTTTTGTGTTTATTTTCGTTTTGGTCTTGCATTTTTCCTTGCACTCTGCATTTATGGCATCGGGACACGCTTGTGGGGAGGTAACAGGGGACGAAGCAATAGTTTCCGGCATGGGCAGGGTGAAGACATTCATCAGTCTAACTCTCGATCATGGATGCAAATCAAGCCTCGGCCTAAATGCCGGGGCTCCCAACCCATGATTGAGGAATTAGCTGATAGGCACACTCGGGACATTGGTCATGGCTTGTTGCGAGACGCGAGGATTGAGGGGTTTGGGTCACCGGCAAGGATGTTTAGAGAGAGGCATGTTTTAGCCGTGGGCAACTCGGGCCCCTCTCTCTCGCCTCCCCCCGGTGCCCTCCAGTTCTGAGGCCGCCGTTCGGTGACGATGGACGACGACATCCCCCGACCCTGTCAAGGCAGCCATGGTATCACGATCGGACAGTCCGGCTGCTGACGGTAGCCGTGTCGGGTTCCGGGTACGAGGCACCAACCCGCACTGCTGACCGGTTTGAGGTGCCACCAGTAACGCATACCATTCGTTTCATTAATATCAGTCTTGTTTTGCTTTTATGCCTTACGCCCACTGTGACCCGGTAATGGAAATGTGCCCTGTCATGGATCATCGCTTCTGCAAGGTGATTAGGTAGCGCCGTGCTCAGCCTCCTGTGATGCAGGGAAAAAGTCGGTGTCGAGAGGCTGTACTGGTCAGAGCGTATCTAAACCCCTCTTGGACGCGAATTCTCAACTCAGGCATCACAGCGGAGAGCCAGTCGTATAAAGAATGGCAGGACCCGTTATTTGAGCGAACAAACAAACAAGAGTGCCCAAGCAGCTCTCCCCTCACCACTAACACACCGCCTGCCCGTTTCTCGCCCAGAACCTCCCACCCTTTCCCCGCACTACCTTAACCATCCCTGCCGGTACATGACGAAAAACGGTGCGAAGTCCCCCAAGAAACACCGTTTCGGAACCCAACCACGTCACGTCGCACCGTTTAATATCCACACTTTGTGAGGTCTTCGGATGAAGTCACGCAATGCCTACCTCGATAGACGCTGCAGCCATGGCACCGTCAACACTCGATCTGTTCATTCTCACCTTCAATTGCGCCAAAACTTTCATTAACCCTCCCGTCTTCGCTGCCCATCTCCATGGCGCTTTCGCAGCGCAGAATACGGCGGACCTGCCAGACCTGGTTGTGTTGTAAGTCGTGGATATATCCAAATACCCCTGCAAAAGTGGTCTCGTGCCCATCGCGAGATGCGGCTAAGAAACACAATTGAGCAGAGAGCGCCGCGCTGTCCCAGATTCTGGCTCCGGATTCTCTAGCCCTGTTGTATTCCACATGCTTACCCTATTTCCTCCCCCGATAGCTCGCTCCAGGAGGTAGCACCGCTCTCCTACGCCTTCATCGGCTCCTACTTTCTCAACTCCTACTACGCCCGCTTCGGGGAGGCGCTCAACCTCGCATCGGCAAAGGTACTCGCGACAGCCGACAGCGACGATGAACGTGCCCCCCTCTCAGCAGCCGCACCTCGCGGGAGGAGTCCACCACAATACACCCTCGTGCGCGCGAAGAACGTCGGTATGACGGCCATTCTCATGTACGCGCGAGACCCGACCTCCGTACGAAATATCGAGGAGGCAGAGTGCGGCTTTGGGGCGGCAGACATGGGCAACAAGGGCGCCGTCGGGTTGAGGGTGACCTGGAGCGGGCAGGCAGACGAGACGGGGCTGAGCAAAACGACAGAACTCACCTTCGTAGCCACGCACCTCGCAGCCATGGAATGGAATCTCAAAAAACGCAACGCCAACTGGCGCAGCATCGTCGCCGGCCTGACCTTCGCCAACCCACGAACCCTCCTCCCAGACGACTTCCCCGCCGACCAAGCCGGCCCCACCCTCGACCGCACCGGCGCAGGCGGAAGCTCATCCCGCCGCCTCCCAACCGGCGACAGTCCCGACCCCCAGCGAAGAAGAACAAGAAGAGCTCTTCTCCTCAGAAGAAGAAGAGGAAATTAACACACCCCCTCCTCACCCACCCGCAACTCCCCCCCACCACCTCGACCACCACCCTCGCCGCCCTACACTCCCTCTCCATCTACAAACCCACCTCGCACCTCTTCGTCGCCGGCGACCTCAACTACCGCATCAGCAACACGACCCCCCCACCCTCCTCCACCTTCCCCTCCTTCGACCCGTCCTCCGAACACCACCACTCCCACTTCCTTCCGCGCGACCAGCTGACGCGGGAGCGCCGCGCGGGCCGCGCCCTGCACGGGCTGGCGGAGGCCCCCGTGCGGTTCGGGCCGACCTACAAATTCGATGTGCTGGACGGGGCGGCGGTGCGCGCGGGGCGGGAGGTGGATGGCGTGCCCGAGGTGCCGTGGCGGTTTGCGCCGCATCGCTGGCCGGGGTGGTGTGATCGGGTTTTGTATCTGGATGTGCCGCGGTGGGTTTCGGGTCCCTCCAAGCGGGAAGAGGAGAAAGTGCGCGTCCAGGTGGACGCGTACGACGCCCTCCCGCTGATGGCGTGCAGCGACCACCGCGCCGTGTACTTCCGGGCGCGGGTGCCTGTTCTTGACGCGGAGGAGATGGCGCCGCCGGCGGGGATGGAGGCGGACGAGGACGGGTTGGTGGCGGAGGAGAGCGGCGGGATGGTGGATCCGCGCGTGCGCATGCCGGTGCCCGTGGACGTGCATGCGTGGGAGCGGCGGGCGGCGGGGAGGCGGAAGGAGATGGTGGTGGGCTGGACGGCGTTGGTGTGGAGTACGAGGGAAGGGGCCGTGTTGTTGGCGACCTTGTTGGCGCTGGGGGTGGGGAGTTGGTGGTTGGTAAGGGTTTGGTGAGACGTTTGAACATGGAGTTGGGTTAGATATATATATATATACGTTCAGAACAGGACCAGGAGATTTAAGGTAAAGTATAATGGCGTCGGTTGATTGTATGGCTTCTGCTTTTTCTGTGCGGTAGGGCGCAGTTTAGAGATTTTGGCGACGTAATATAAGCAAGTCGTAGATCACTGTGGTTCTGGGGGATTGCGTGCCTTGCATGATTGAAGCACTGCTGAGCTCCGAAGTAAGTCCTGAAATAGGTCATAAAAAACAAATAAATAGAAAAAGGAGACCGGGTACCAGGAAAAAAAGATAGAAGTGACATGAGGCGAAGAACAAAGTCTAGTTAGTCGTGGGCAGTGAGCGAAAAAATGGATCTCGAACAGATATATCAATATCAAGAACGGAGAAGTGAAAAGGCACCGCGTATTTCTTTTCTATCAGGGATTATCTAGCGAACGGCCAGAGATAGCAGCTTGGCCGTTTCGCTGTTAGGTTCGTAGGTATAGGTAGTAATGTGCAGCCACGGTTCCTCCTCCTAGGTAACTAATGGCAACCTCCCATCAGCCATCTCCAACAAGCTCTCGTAACAATACCGATAATAATACGGCAACGCCTGCATCACCCCCCTTATCCCCCGTATACACGCACCGTAGGTAAGTCGCAATCGCAATCACAAACACATGCTCCATCCGGCCAGACCCCCCAAAAACGCCTGCTGTCCGCCTAAAAATCACAGCAAAACTCGCCCGCTCCCATATCTGTTGCTTGCGGCGAGGATAAAGTCAAACAGACAAAAGCAAAACTCTTCCTTCCTCTCCAGCAGCGTGTCTCATAATCAGCAGCCCAAGGCAAGCAACAAACGCTGGCTCGGATGAAACTGGCAATAACCGCCTCAACGTAGATGTAGATGCCCCCCTCAAACCGGGTATTCGTAACTCAAAACCAGCCAAAAGGAACAACGAAAAGCCAGCGCGAGGCCCGCCTTTCCATTTCACCACCCATCCACCTCATACCCCCCTCCCCACACCACACCGGACCGAGCCAAGCAAGGCGCCTTCAAAAGTCTTTAAAGTACGCATCGTACTTGCCGACCATCTCGTCGGTGTACTCGTCCTTATGGGCGTCCTCCTCGGGGTAAATGTCGAAGCACTGGGCATCGCCGGGGTACCTAACCCGGGGGGATGATGGGGCCTCGGTGGCGCTTCTGGTAGACGGCGTCCCCAGTCGAACCCCGGCAAAGAAGGGGTGCGCCTTGAACTCTGGCGGCGCCCCCCCAAAATTTAACCGAGGCCGCCGGAACCGGTCGAACGTGGCAAAACTGGCCGGATGAATGTCCTTGGCGGCGTCGCTGATGACGGGTTCTTGCGGGAAGACGATGGGCCTTTTCGACGATTCTGCGCGCGGGGTGGGATGGTTAGGGTGGGATGGTGAGGGCGGGAAGGGACGGGGTTTAGGGGGGTGGGGTGGGCTGTGGAAGGGGGTTCGTACTGCTTGTAAATCTCAATAGGATTTTGATGCCAAAACGGCGGATAGCCCGTGAGGAACTCGTAGATGAGGATCCCTAGCGCCCACCAGTCGACCGCGGTGGTGTGGCCCTTGTTATGGATCACCTCCGGCGCGAGGTACTCGGGTGTGCCGCACAGAGTGTAGGTTTCAACCGGGTGGCCGGATTCGTTATTTCCTAAGCGCTTGGCGAAACCAAAGTCGACGAGCTTGATGTGGCCCTCGCCGTCGAGTAGGAGGTTTTCGGGTTTCATGTCCCGGTAGGCTATCCCTCCTTGGTGCTCATGCAAGTGTTCAAGGATTAGGACGATCTCGGCGGCGTAGAAGCGGGCCATGTCCTCGTCGAAGCGGCGGAACTTGCGCAGGTAGGTGAAGAGTTCGCCACCGGGTACGTAGTCGAGGAGGATGTAGAGGAATTCGTGGTCCGAAAAGGAGGCAACATAGTTCGTTATAAAGGGGTGCCCTCTCACATCGGCCAGAATTTGGCGTTCATGGCGCACGTGGTCAATCTGCTTCAGCTTAATTACTACGGCTGGTTAGCATGTCTACGCTTGCCCCTGCGCCCCAAGCTTCTATGTGAACCTACCCTCGGTTTTCCGGAGTATCTTGAGCGCATACACCTTGCTGCGATCGGCTTCGGTGCCATGGGACGGCCGCACGAGGCAAACACGGGCAAAGGTCCCTAGATAAGGTGTAAGTGACTATGCGCTAGGCCGAGGGGGCCAGACACCCTACCTGTTCCTAATGTCCTCACACGAACAAGGTCGCTCACAGTCAACTTTCTAGACGTCACATCGAAGGGCTCATCATTAAAATCTCTCTGTTGTGATTGCTGCGATTGTTGCTGCTGTTGCTGCTGCCCGTTAGCGGCAGCCCTCATAGCCGCCACCTGCAATGGATGAAGCCCCGGCGGAAGCGCCTGCGAATGCGCCACCGTAGCCGCCATTGTGTCGGTGGGCTGAGCTCAACTTGGTGGTGGTGGTGGTGGTGGTGGTGGTGGTGACGTTCGTTGCCGTAGGTGAGGTGCGCACAGGAAGACCTAACCTCCTTAGACGGTTCAAGTGGTTATATGCGGGTCTTGGTTCCGAGGCTCGTTGCGTTGCGTTGCGGTGTGGTGTGGTGTTCCCACGTGGTGTGTAGTTTGCTGGCAGGTGATTGATTGCGGGGCAAGCAGATGGAAGGGTGGCCTCGTACACATCCAGTGTTTGAGAACTTGCCCTGCCCCGTTAGGTCGTAATCGGATGGATGGGAGAGTGGGTAAGTGGCCCAAGCAAGGTGAAGGTGGGTAGGGAATTAGGTATAAAGAAGACGGGGAGCTCGAGGGAGGGGGTCGCAGCTGAACATGAGATCGAAATCGAAATCCAGCCTCCCGGGGTTAGGTTGCATGGGACCGAGGGCGGGTGGAGTGAGTTGCCGAAGAAGGGACAAGCTGACAGGGCAGCGCGGCAAACGGCAGGTAATGAACAATGACTGAATGCGCAATGGATGAATTGGCCGAGGGACTGCCTTCCTCCTTCGAGCCCAGCTCGCGGCTCGGGGCTCGCGGGGTTTAAACAACCTGGAACGTGGGGTAGGGGACAGGGGACAGGTTTGAGGAAGGCGATCAGCTGCGCTGGATACTCGCCAGTTAGGTGCTGGGGCTCTGGGGCTTGGCAAAGGAAGCGGCGGATGACGTTGGCGTTGCAGGACAAGCGGACCCTGAAATATCGCCAAATCCCGGAACCAGCCTCGCAACTTTGGGCAACAAACCTGGAAAGAAGCCGTCGATAAACGGGAAAGTGGACAAGACGGATTGTTCTCCAGGTGGGAAGTGGGAATGGTGTATCCTGCATGTACGGCCAGGTTGCTTAGGAGCTTGACTACTTAGTAAAGCGCACCGAAGCAAACTTTCAGACGACACACCCGCCCAACTTGGAAAGAGGAGATGGAGTGGAAAGATGCCGCCCATCCGGTGGTGTCATGGCGGCGATGTCATTGAAGCAATCTGCCAATCTGCCAATCTGCCCGAAACGGCGCGGGCCGGTTTCCATGGTGGGACTCGGGCCCCTGGGTCGGGTCCGGAGATGAGCAAATCAACCAGAAAGAACCCGGTTGATGGTGGTATGTAAGTCAAGGACGCAGAGATAAAAGGTAGGCGGAAGGCCTTAATATCCCGATGCGGTTCGGACGAAACCAGCGCTTGTTAGGCGGTGTTGCTGTTCATGGACACTAGTAAAATGGAGCCTGGAATGTTTCATGTTCCTGACTTCAGGTTCCATGACACCTTTGCTCAATTGCCGTACCTGTTATCTTATCACAATCACTCAGACCGTGTGGGTATTCTGTCTGAGGTGGTCGAACAGGTCACTATCCTGGATCCGGTCCGCGGCTGCACGGCATCGAACGCGAGTGAGGCGATGAATGCAGGCTCCGTCACTTATCCATGATGGAATTGAAGATGGAACAGGGTAGCAGGGCTGCTAGGCGGTGGGCTGCAGGCGGCTAGTGAGATGGAAGCGGGGCAACCGCTGTCAGTGTGGCCGCAGGGATGTGCCAGCCTTGGGTCTGGCGAGGGGAGGGGCTCCACATCCGGCACCCACCGCTGCCGGATGGGGTGCTGCCTCGTGAGCACGACTCGCCCAAGCATTCGATTCCATTCGTAACTTGGGTCGGCATCTGGTTGCCCATCACCTGTCAAGCCGCACACACGAGACGGGTATCAACTTCGAAAACACCCAACGACGAGCCCCTTCACCTTTCAAAACGCTACGCCGCTATATCCCACATTAGATCACGCATCTCCATCGCGCCGATCATCGAACCAACCGCTACTCCCGAGCAATGTCATATTAACTTACCACCCCCCCAAAATTATCATCCGTCCAGTTCCCCGCCAACCCTCGATTTGCAACACCCCCCGGGGGCCTGCAATCCGAGATACGAACTTCCACGACCGATGCACACACAGGATGTTGAACTTCTCGAGCTTCGTACAGAAGGCGCAGCAGTTGCTAGACCCCGTGCAGGGCTTGAACCTCTCCGAATCCGACCGGAATCCGTCTAAAGCATCCTTGTTCCAAAGCCAGTTTAGGCTGCCGTCATCTCAACACCCTCTCTATGAGATAACGGCCGAGCTCACCATCCCGCCCGCGAATGCGACACAAGGCGACCGAGACCGGGACCGGGGCCATCAGTACGCCGGCAAGCTCCATCTCTCCGAAGCCTTCCTCTGCTTCTCCACCACACCGTCTAGCTTCCTGCAGTCGGCACGACGACTACTCTTCATATTTACAGGGCAAACGCACGGCGGTGGTCC